TTTCTCTCTCTCCCTCTATTTCTTTCTTTCTCTATTTCTCGATTTTCTACTCCCCCCCTCTCTCTCTCTCTCTCTCTCTCTCTCTCTCTCTCTCTCTCTCTCTTTTTCTCTCTCTTTCTCTCTCTCACTCTCTTTCTCTCTTTTCTTTCTCTCTCTGTCTCTCTCCCTCCTCTCCTCTCTCTTTCTCCCTCATTTTCATTCTCATTTCCTGACGTTATCTTACTTTATATAAAGCCCCTCACCTGTCCCCTACCCCTACAATTTCTCTCTTTCTCTCCTTCTCTCTTTCACCCCTTCTCTCTTTCTTTTCCCCTCTCTCACTCTCCCTCTCTCACTTTCTTATTCTCTCTCTCTCTCTCTCTCTCTCTCTCTCTCTCTCTCTCTCTCTCTCTCTTTCTCTCACCCTTTTCTTGGCATGAAATGAATGTTGTTATGTCCATATAGCAAACAGTGAACCAAACCCATTTCTTGCCCTCACTGTGTGCAGTTGGTGGGTGCTCACGTGTGTTTAGCTCCTCCCATTTCTTTTCAGTTACCTTCTTTCCTATCAAACATCTATCATCCTGATCTTTCCTTCTTTTTTATGTTTGTTACTCTCTTGTAACACCTCTAATCTTCGGCACTTATATGACCTAATTGTGTTGCAAATGCCGTAAAACTCTTACTAAAACTTTACTCAAACAAACAGTGAAAACAAAAGATACACTTTCTGACTGTTGTTGCTCTTGTTGTGCTGTGTTCCAGTGTGCTGTGGCCCTGTTTGACATGATCGAGTACTACGAGTCGGCGTGCCAGCTCAACATCTCCTGCAACAAGGACATCAGCGCCAGAGGATGGCAAGCCTGCTCACGGCTTGTTCGCAGGGTAGGATCCCAACTCATTTCTCTCGTCCTCCTCTCTCCAATCTGTATATGACCTTTAAACTCAAGTCAAAGGTCGGGATATAAGCTTGTCAAAGCTGGTCCGGACAAAGAGTTACCATGGATACTTGTGTATTGACAGAATGGGTTTTTTTTGGTTATGAAATATAAATAGGTATGTTGAATACGTCATAGCACATATAAACATTTATAAGAACAGCTGTTGTTCCTTCCTTTGAACCTTGAACCTTAAAATGTCTGAACAAATTGTTTAGTTTAGATTTTCATTGATTATTTCTCTGTAACGATGTAGCATAATTTAGAAAGATCGTTCCTGTTCTGCAGCTATAAAAAATGCTCAGCTTATTACTGTCGTGAAGTAGTCAATTTTCAGTGGTACACATTGCGTAAATTACTCATATTTCAGCTTTGTTTAGTTTGTTTGGACCTGTACCAAAACTCCAGCAAGTACTTTCCTGGGAAAAATAGCACATATTTATGTTATAAATTTCTATAAATAGATTATAATACAAGTTTAGTGGCGACTTTAGCCTAGTGGTTTGGCTACCTAATTCGTAATAGTGAGATTGCGGGTTCGGGGGTTCGAGCCTCAGCTTGGTCCTACGTTGTGTCCTTGGGAAAGGCACTCTATGTGAATTTCATGTTTGGCTCAGTCTTTTTGGAGATTGACCTTTGACCCGGAGGTCCTGCCTCTTATATAACCTAATAGTGTTGATAGGCCGTTAAATCTATACCGTTTCAATTTTTTTTATACAAGTGTGACCCGTCTTGTGTTTCCCTCAGACCCCGACCTTGACCTACCTGGACATGAGAGGCTGTGACCTGAACGACAGAACCATACCCATCTTTGGCCGGGCCCTCAAGCTGGGATGCCATCTCACCATTCTTCACATGGAAAAGATGAACCTGTCCGGGAGGCCACTCATCATTTTAGGTATTCTTTTTCTTCCTCTTGCCCAATCTCATCCAAAAGAGGCCAAGTGATAAGTATAACTTTGTACTCATGATTTGTGAGTGATAGTCAACCCTGGGTGGAATAAGGGAGGGAAGGAGAGTTATTCATTTGTTGTCAAGACCAGCCACGCACAACTCCTTTTTTCGGAACTTGTCATCATCAAACACAGATTAGTTTTTAAAAATCCCAACCACCACCATTTAGACGATTCAGGAAACGGGCTCAGCTCTCTATCAGAGTCATTTTGGCTTGTGTTGGGACACTCTAAATCTCAGCGGTAAGACGTATGTACTCATTGAACTATGAAGAACCTCAGAGATTTCCTACAACTCTGGCTGTCTTGTCGTATACAGCGGCCCCTATTTGACCCGTGGAATCCTCTCGTGTCTGCGACCTATCTTCCTGCTGGATTCAACCACCCATTAATTATTGATTTCTTGTTAGTGTCGCTGACTGAGTACATTTGTTTGATTGAAAGTAATCTGTCCTGTCCTTTTCCATCATGTTTGTGAGTACTGGAAAGTATTTGGAAATTGGATTTTTTTAAAACTATTAAAAAAACCACAGTTGGGGGAAGGGGATGGGAATGGGTGTTGTTAGTTGGAGGGTTTCCCTACCCTTCCATTTAATAGTGTTAAAAAGTTTGTAACAAATACAGTGTGCTTTGGATGTGACTTTATCAATGCTTTGGCTAAATGGTAAATTATAAATAGTTATTGTATTGTAGCAGTGTCACTCTGACTTCGTTGTAACTTTAGTTAGTGGGTGGTTGGCGGATGCTTTGGTGTGGTTTGCTTCTTCTTTCCTATAAAAAAAATCTATCGTCTCTATCCCTCCTCCTTTTTTGTGTGTGTTACTCTCTTGTAACACCTCTAATCTTCGTCACTTATATTACCTTATTGTGTTGCATGTGCCGTAAAACACTTACTAAAACTAACTTTAGTTAGTAAGACAAAGAAGTTAAGTTTTTACCGTGGGAGGTTTAGCTGCTGGGATACTCGAATGATTGTATTGTTGATGAGTGATGATACGTCATGGGCAATATAACAATTTTCTTTGAGACTTCAAGAAGTCTTTGCTTTCCCAAATGAAGTATGATGTTGGTTTTCCTTTAAAAAAATCATCAACAGAATATGCTACTCCGTTTAGAGTCAGATCAAACTGCTTTGGATGTTGGACTGATTCATTGCTTTTCACTTGTATGCACCAGAGAATCTTGTTTGCTAAAAAAATTACTGTTCTATTTTTTATATTCCTGCAAAGCACAATCTCAATTTTCTCTAGGTATGTTTTGTCTGGACTTGTTATCTTGTCTTATTTTGACACTAGAAGGCCATTGGTGGTTAGTTGAGTTGATTGGATCTCGTTCCTTTGTCCTTTTCTCTCAACAACTTGTTTTCCCGTCTTATTTTGTCTCAGTTGCCGCTCTGAAAATGAACGAAACCCTGCAAGAGCTGTTCCTGGCTGACAACAAACTGATGCCGACAGACGGGGCCCAGCTGGGAACTCTGATGCGCTACAATCACAAGCTCAGTCTTCTAGATCTCAGAAACAACCACTTACAAGTAAAGACTTTGTTAATTGAAGCCATCGAAACCACAGCTAAGGGCACACACCTGTTGTTTGTTTCAGGGTCGTTCAAGTTTGCTTCTTTTAAAAAAAAAAGTGGCTCTATGAATAAGATATGAACATTGTCGAGACAGACTGTTTCCCTGAAGAAGATTTTGCTGTTAAAAGCAACCCCCCCCCCCCCAAAAAAAAAACAAAAAAACCCCCAAGTATTTTGTCGACTCTACCATGCCTGTTTTTAAAAATATTTACTTCACTTAGAAACCTTGAAGCTGTTTTTAGTCTTGGAGGTTTGAAAATAAAGATTTAGGGGACATATTTCTGTTTTCATCCCCTTCTTACTTCTCCACTTTCTTTCTAAATTCTTTTCACTCGATGATGTGTGTAAGTTGTCCATTGGGTGGTTGGAGGGCGCCACTGTAAGTTCCTACTGTTTCTTTCCTTTCCCTCTGTTGTTTCTGTCTGTCTGTCTGTCTGTCTGTCTGTCTGTCTGTCTGTCTGTCTGTCTGTCTTATTCTCTTTCCCCATGCGAAATGACTGTTATTATGTCAATGTTCTTCTCTTTTCTCAAACAGCCAAACAAGCATAAGGCCTCAATTGGAATCCTTTCGTTGGTTTGACAAAAGTTGGTTATGATCCAGACAAAATAATTTATTGTCCAGAGTGACAGAGTGTCATGACAAGATTTGATCTCTTGGAAATATTCTCCAAATAGTTCACCAATTACAGGTTGTTTTGTTTGTATGATACCAGCAGTAACACTGTGCAGTCACTTGGCACAATAATGCGCAGGTGAAAATTATTCATCGGTCACCTGGCGTTGCAGTCACTCTCCTGGCTGGGTGACCAGATGGGGTATTGTGTACTGCTGGCTGTGTGACTGCAAAGTGTTGACTGCTTTTATAACATTACAGTTCAATAACGATTGTAAAACTATGTCTTTTAGTTGAGTAATTTGCTGTTGGTCTGTGGTTTCTGGTCTTCATATTGCCCACCCTCCCCAGTCTGTCACATGTAACTGACTTGACACACCTCTTTGTCGGCAGGATGTGGGCACAAGCCACATTTGTGACGGCCTCATGGAGCAGAACAAAGGACGAGGTCTTCGAACCCTGGTGCTGTGGAACAACTCCATCACTTACCAAGCCATGCCGCCTCTAGGGAGAGCCTTGGTCAGTCGGGAAGCCTCACTGTAGAACTCTACACTTTGTCCTGCAGACTTGCCATCTGTCCTGAATTTCCCCGAGACTGTCCCAGATTTGGCAGTCAGGGAATTTGAGAGGATGTTAACTGTACTCAGACCTGCCACTCATCCCGATTTAGTCGGGATATCCCGATTTTTTGCCCCAAATTTCAAGCTTCCCGATTTTCCCGATTTCGATCGCGTGTTTCCCAATTTTTTTGTCCCAGTCTGCTGTTGTGCCGGATTTTTCTAAAAACTTACTCAGTCTTCTCCACCATCGTGGGAAGCACCCGTTGAACTTTTTGTCAGTAGGAACTCGGAGCTCTATTTCCCGAAATATCGATGCCGCATTTAGTAGTTGACTCGCCCTGAGTTGTGTGTGATCTTTGACCCGCGCTCAGAATTCTCTAATGATAGCCTCCAATGATAGCCTGGTAACTGTTACAATTTGGGACATACAAATAATCGATAATATTCGTAGTTCCGCTGTTACTTTCAAAACAAGCCTTGTCCGAGGTCTGGTAACTGCGCGTTCACATCAAACACTCAGACGAGCGACAGTCTTTCTAACCCTTACACAACTAACTAACTGTAACTGCGCTGACAAGACTAACATACGGCCGTTGTCGTTGCTTTCGTCTGAACGCATTATGAAGGATAAGAGATTTGTTGGTACATTTGGTCGGTTGGCCGCCGTCGTTATTCTAGAAGTAGACCGACTGTCGCTCATCCGAGTGTTTTGTGTGAACGCGCAGTTAGTCGGACCCGTCAGTAAAATTGTTTCAATCACGCATTCGCGTCACGTGACATGACATCGCCGTGTGAGTTCTGCGTGTCGGGGACCGCGGGGACCGTCCCCGTAGACGGGGTCAACTTAAGTTCATGTATTTCGGGACTTATTGGTAGGGGTAGGGGGGGGGGTTATAGACACTTGGACTAGGAGTGCTTGACGCGATGCTTCAGGATTTACAAAAAAATAATGATGACTCGCACACACGCACACACACGCGCGCGCGCGCTAACAAAGACACACAGTGGGCATAAAGGCCTATTAATTTATGGACACCCCTGGAAAAATTGTATGTCAGCTTTGGCAGTCTCACCTTGGTGATTTGCTGGTGATCCCGATTTTTTTCACCAAATTCCGATTTTTTCTACCTGAGATCCTGATTTTGAGGTTTCATAGAGTGGCAGGTCTGTGTACTGCACCAAAACCAGTTCCACTTGATCAAATTTTTGTTTGTTGTCTGGTAATGTAATGTCATAAGCATGACTTCTCTTTTATCATTGTATTTCTTTAAATGCTACAACTCAGATTTAAACAGATTACAAATGTAGGAACATTGGAATTTGTAATCAAGGTCCACTTTTTCCTAATGAACGCTTTAGCAAAGATTTATAATGAAATGAATAGAAAAAGCATGATTGTGGATGAAGAATGTGTATTTTGTTAATCTTGTTATGTGCATGCATCGGTTAAGTGAGTTTTTACCTTTTTCGTTAGAGTACCCACTTTTAAAAAAATGTGCACTTTTAAGTCCAAAGGCTTTGGCCTGATTTCTGTTGGCAGTTATTGTCTGGAAAGGAACGTTTTTGTATCTTAAGAGATGCAAATTATGTACTGACCTACTGCATTTCTTCCTGTCTGCCAGGCTGCTAGTGAAAGTTTAGAAACACTCAACATCGGCCACAACAACATCACAAATGAAGGGGTCCACCTGCTTAAAGATGGCCTGCTGAAAACCAACACTTTGCTCCGGCTGGGCCTGCAGGGGACTAAGGTGTCGGACGAAGGTAGGGCTCGCTCACCTCTGGTCCTCAACGCCACACAACAAGTTTGAAATGTTAAAAAAAAATAATTTTTTTTAGATGTGTTTGGACGTGGTGGAATCAGGTACTCGTCAATTTTTAGGTATATATGGCGTTATTTGTGTCATTATAAAGCTTGTTCATTTGTCTTGCTTGTGATAAAAAAAATGATCCATCTGTCTTGAATACAAGTCGAGATATTTGCGATTGAAGGAGGTTGGGGTCGCCTGATTTTAGAGGTAATATTAGTGAGAAAATGGCCCCCAAAGTCTGGTGTCTTACATAGCTTGAGAGATCTTGGAAACAAAATAAATTTTTTGTGTGCCCTTTATCAACTTTTTCATTAAAGTCTTCACAGAAATGTGTTTTTCAATAGATGCAAAAGCTGTTGAACCAAAAAACCAACTTTTGAAAAAATTTGCAAAACCGGCGGAAAATGCAGATTTATCTGATTTCAATATTTTGACAAGTGCCTGATTTCACCATGCTGCCTCACAAATAAATTCCACTTTTTGGGTGGCCTTTGGGAAACTTGGTAAACAATGGCGTGCACGAACACACAGATTTGTTGTTACATGAATGCAAATGCACTACACACGTTACTAGCTGAAGTATGGATAGTTATCAGCACTTTGCTATTTTGGTTCAAACTTCAAATTTCTTCCCATCATATATCGGTCAAACCGTGACCAATTAAAACTGCCCACAAATTGCGTCTTGATATTAGCTTGTATATATATATAGATGTTGTTGCTCCTACTTCTACTTACAAAACTTTTCAGTGATACTTTGCCAAAGGTAAGTGATTTGATACACAAGATATACACATCATTTTGTGAGCCCGAGACTGCAATCTGACCCTGTGAGTGGGTGGTTGGCGGGTGCTCTGGTGTTGTTTGCTTCTTCTTTCTTATCAAGAATCTATCGTACTTATCTCTCCTTCTTCATTTTTGTGTTTGTTAATCTCTTGTAACACCTCTAATCTTCAGCACTTGTATGACCTTATTGTGTTGCAAGTGCCGTAAAACTCTTGACTAAAACTAAAAAACTGACCCCTGTGAAGGAACCAACATTGGAGTGAAAGTTTGAAGAGTTCTTTTTTCCTGCCTGTAGGTGAAACAAGGAGTGTTACCTCCCCTGAGAGATGTAGTTTTTTTAAATTTTAATTTTTAATTTTTTTGGGGGGTCCCATGATTTGATTTGGTGCTGAATATTTGTGATTTACATAAAAATGTGTCAACATGATAGTAATTGTTATGCTTCAAGAATGCTTCCAGAAAAAATGAACAAGAAAAAGAAAATTGATGATGATGATGACGACGACGACGTTGATGATGGTGATGATGATGATTATGATGGTGATGATAGTGGTGATGATAGTGGTGATGATGACGATGAAGACAATTATGATGAAATGTCTGAGTGAGACAGACGTAAGTCACACTCTAGTGATAGTCCAGGAACAAGAATATCCTTTAGTATTTTTGCCTTTTTATCCTTCTGTTCTCAGGCTCTGTTGCCTTGGCGGAGTACATCGCGGACAGCCTGATTCTGCTGAGGATTGATCTGAGGGACAACGACATCAAGACGGGCGGCCTGATGGCCCTCTCCCACGCCATGAGGGTCAACTCTTCCGTGACCAGGATCGACCTGGACAAAGAGACCAAGAGGGAGTCTGTGAGTGACCACACTGTGGGGGCTGCTGTTTGGTGGATCTGAAGGAATTTCTCAATAAAAAATATGTTTTTTTTTTAGGAAATGATCTTTTAGGAGACTGCTGAGAATATCGTGGAAGGAAAAGAAATTAAATATGGTAGTGCTTGATGAAGCCCACGTGGGATGCTCACTGTTAAGAACAATCAGGAAACGACAAATGCAGTTTTTGGGACACCTGAATAGACATAAAGGTCTTGAACATCTAGCTCTCACTGGCAAAATTGAAGGAAAACGAGGCAGGAGTAGGCCCAGAGCAACCTACTGAGGGAACCTAAACAAATGGGTAACAGGGAAAGATCAGGGAAACGTAGCTTTTTTGAGAGCATCCGAGCAAAGGAATGAATGGAGAACCATGATCGTCGATGTCTGTCGCAGATCTGGCACTGGATGATGACCTACAGAAATGTTATAATAGAACTTAAAGTAATCCAGTTGAAATTGGCAGTGGTTCTTCCCTGATGAGGAAATGGTGAATCGTTTTGTCCTGTACGTTTTCGCCAGACTACAGAGAAAGTCTGTTCAAGGTGTAGGTGGTTGGAAGGTGCTGTGGTCAGCTTTTTGGGTTGTCGATAGGTGCTCTGGTGTGATTGTCTTCCATTTCTTCTGCCTTTTACTGTCAACCTTTATCTATTCCTGTGGATGGTTGGAGGATGCTCAGGTGTGTACCTTATCTATTTCTGGCCAACTGAGACCCTTGGTATTTTGGCTTACCCTGAGCTACAAGGGAACAACCTTGAGTAGTTTTTTCACCTTTGTTGTCAGCTTCTCCTTTGTCCGGATTGGGACCTTGCAGTGTGAAGTATTAGGCTTTAACACTTTGTGGTCACTTGGTGCAATAATGCGATTGTGAATATAATCCGTTCCGGTTGCCTGGCGCAGTTCTGCGACAGGCCCAAGAAGTCCGTTGCAGTCACTCTCCTGGCTGGGTGGCCAGATGGGGGTATTTTGTACCGCTGGCTGGGTGGCCAATGGGGGGATTTTGTACCGCTGGCTGTGTGACCAGATGGGGGTATTTTGTACCGCTGGCTGTGTGACCAGATGGGGGTATTTTGTACTGCTGGCTGGGTGGCCAGATGGGGGTATTTTGTACCGCTGGCTGTGTGACCAGATGGGGGTATTTTGTACCGCTGGCTGTGTGGCCAGATGGGGGTATTTTGTACCACTGGCTGTGTGGCCAGATGGGGGTATTTTGTACTGCTGGCTGTGTGACCAGATGGGGGTATTTTGTACCACTGGCTGTGTGGCCAGATGGGGGTATTTTGGCTGTGTGACCAGATGGGGGTATTTTGGCTGTGTGACCAGATGGGGGTATTTTGGCTGTGTAACTGCAAAGTGTTAAAAGATTGTTGGAGGACGCCACCTGATGGTCCGATTGTTGTCCTCTCCTGATCTTGTCTGTCTTTCTGTTGTTTTTACTTCATTCTGCACTTTTCAGCTAAAAGTACTTTTCTTAAGTTAGTCATTGGCATTGTTTTCTTTTCAGATTTAAATCTTTTAAGGGAAAGTGGTAAGATCTAGATCTATGTTTTTGTCTGTAAGTACACAATGGATGTTGAAAATTTGTGTTGGTTATGTGTGTTATATAAATTTGTTGTTGTGTTTCTGAAAGGGGCTACTTTTTCTCATTTTTATTTATATCTGTATTTATTTCAGGGAATGAAAGATTACGCGGAGCAACAGAACCGACTTCAGCGGGACATCATCACCTTCCAGCAGAGAAATGTCCAAGCCGCCATCGAGAGGGAAGAAGCCGAGCGGGCCAAGCTGGAGGAGAAGGCGGAGGCTGCCGCGGCCGCTCGCCAGAAGGAGGCAGAGGAAAAGCAAGAGGAGGAGGACGCCTCACCTCCCCCCGCTCCTGTGGCTGGCGGTGAAGCAGTGGCTGACGCCAAGGTCAACGGAAGCAGTGGTGAGTCGTTCACTGTCATCAGCAAGGAGGGAATCACGGACAAAGAAGTGTCGTCTGAAGACAGCCCTGCTGCGGAAGTGTCGGAACAACCGGACAGCTCTGTCGTCGTCTCCGAAGCGTCGAGTCAACCTTGTGACGAGGTCGCCGCTACCTGCAGTGATGATGATAAGCTTTGCGAGAGCAAGGTGAAGGCTGCCGTGCTGCCCTGCCCCGATTCCCCGGTGGAGAGGCAGCAGCAGCAGCAGCCGAACCTGCGGCCCAGCAACCTATTTGGCAAGTCTGGCCTTCACCCTCAAGAGTCGTTGGATTCCCCGTTGCCTTGTGCCATCAGTGACAACCCCATGATGCTGAGTGAGGGCCCTGATGATGGCACGTCGTCGTCCAGCGATGAAGACAGGCTGCCGTCTGCTCCTGGAGGAGATTCTACCCCTGGGAAAAAAAGTCTTTCCTTAATCGTAGGCGCGCCCCCGGGCGAGATGCTGCTCAGCCCGCAGTACTACCCCAAGCAACTGGCTCGCAAGATCTTCTCGGTCAGTCGCGTATCTGAGGACGGTTCTCAACAGCTGTCCTGCTCTCCTTCCCCCTCCTCCTCCCCCCTCCCCCACCCCCTGTCTGGTGCATTCGACCCGCTCAATATTTCAACCGTTCCCTTAGAATCTTCCTCCTCCGCTACATTCTCCTCCTCCTCCTCCCCCTCCCCCTCTCTGTCGGAGAGTTGTTCGTCGAGTGGGCAGGGGTCAGACCCGCCCACCTCTGTGAGCCCCGCCTCTCTGGTCCAGGACCTGGCCACTGAGACGGTTAAACAGATGGAGTGTGAGCTCCAGTGTGACGGGTCGGCGTCTGTATCGGAGCTCGCTCGCTCTTCGTCGCCACCCACTAGCCCGGGTGGTGATGACGACGACGGTAGTATAGCTGTCGTTTCCTCGGGGGCGACTGACGGCCGGGAGAGTCAGTCGGAGCCCAGCTCCGATTCGTCGGTGACTTTGTCTGGTGACGCTTCTTCGACGTGTCGAGATGCTGCAGTAGAGGCCAGCTGTGATAGACTGGAGGCTCCCACCAAACATTCGGAAACTGCTGTAGAAGAAAAGGAACGCCGCGTGGCAGCGTCCACCGAGGGGAAACTAGAAAACCCAGGTCCGGCGGAGGACAGCACAAAACTGCTGAGTGGAGCGTCAGACACACTAGGTGGGGGCTCTCAACTTTCGGCCCTGCCAACGACTTCGTCTACAGAAAATGAACCAAACGCTGATGTCTCTGCTTTGGCGGAGAACAAACCCCACAAACAATCGTGGCCGGACGAGGAGGCTTGTTCTGCACCTGCCTGTGGGGCTGGGGTCAGCGACGACGACAGCGTGTCCGAACCCACAGCGACGGAAGAGAGTGCGGTGAGCAACGGCGAGCTGCCTGCCCCCTCCACCACCCCGAAGGCTAAGAAGGACTCTGCAATGTCAGGTAAGGCGGAGAAAAACGCAGTGACGGATGGTGACAGTTCCACAGCCCAGGGGCCGCCTGCTGAGAATCCCGACTCGAAAGACTCTCTGCCGTCAGAGAACCTGACCTCAGTGTCAGGGAAAGACTCTGCTCAAAGCTCTTGGACCACACCAGAGTCGCCCTCCTCCTCCTCCTCCTCTGTGCAGGCTTCAGCAGCCACCGGGCAGTCTGGAGAGCAAAGTCTCACCACCACCAGCAACACTCCCACGGGACCCACTGAGGACAGAACCCACAGTTCTTCTGCTCTTTTACCTGTTTCTGATAATTCCAACACCACCACCACCGCTACAACCACCAACACCGCTGCGACCACCACCAGTACCACCACGGCTCAAACCACCCGCACCACCCCCACCCCCACCAGCAGGCTCCTGGAGACAGACACGTCTCTGGCCAGCAAGAGCAGCTCCAGCGATGTCCTTGACATTGAGAACGTGGATCTGAGCCTGGAGGAGGAGCCGTGGCTGGCGGTGGGCGGGGCCGAGGATGCCTCAGACTCTCAGCCGCCGCCCTCGGGCAAGGTGGAGAAGCAGCCAGATTTTTTCACCACCCTGTCGATGAACGGGCTGACCCAGGAGCTGGCCAGTGCCCTCACCTCGCTGGACGGAACCTCGGCCTCCTACGGAGACGAAGATGTTTACGATGACGCAGGTATGTTGCTACATATGTTGTCTCTACACACGCACACGCACTCACACACAC